TCTCCACAAATGTTCTGTATAAAGGCACACTTTTACATAAATAACAAAAAATGTGGAGGTGGAGGGCGGAAGAAGTACTAGGTTCACTAAAGAGGTAAGAAAGGTATCTTAATGAATTTCTGGAATCCACTCGGCTTCAAGGAAATGACTCTGTCATCAGCAAGGGGCCATAAATCAGATGTCATCATGTGAATCCAAGAACCAGGCCAGTTTCAGTTATTTCCAAATAAATGTTTTCTTAATTGCCTGATACTGAGATATAATTTCCCAGTGGAATTAAAATCAGAACACATTAAACTCTGTTAAAGTTTAAAATTTCTACAGAATATAAAAATTTACACAATTCCTATTTTGCACATTTGTCTCCCCTAACTCCCCCAAAAGAACAAGAGTATTTTGAACAGAATACTTTGCCAAAGATTACTATCCTAGGTGCCAAGAAACTAGAGAACAATTTCTAATAAAGCATATATCTTCCATGATAAATAAAAATTTTATTTCAACACACAAAAATCATACATAGGCCTAAATACAGATATTGGTGATTAAATTATTTGATAGCAAGTCCTTCTGTTGCACCCAATACAGCTGCTTCTGGAAATCTGGACTACTCCACAGCACAAGATTAATATCAAGACCACTAAGAGAAATCCTAAAATTTTCAAGCAAAATAAATAATTCAATTGTATTAAAAAATAAGTTCTCTTCTTCAAGAGATATTGCAATCAGGGTATACTATTTCCTTTGCTTCTTTCTACCCTTGCTCCAAAAATGCAACTTTGATACTTTATTTGGAAAGCTTGAAAAATACTTACATTTTGAGGTAGTAGTTAAGAGTTATAGCTAAATACAAAAGCCCTCAAATGCACACAGAAAGCTTTTCAGTAACATAAGCAGAGTTCAGAATGTCCTTTCTATCAGACGTAAGTAACCAGCACCTAGGTGCCATTTTAATAAGGTACTTTTCAGAACCTCTGTGAAATATTGTTAAGAGTCCATGGACCACATATTTATGTGTTCTTTAGCCAAGTAACACAGAGGCATGGCATTGAAGAAACTCAATTATCTGTCATAAAGGTCTGAAAATAACTAATGATAGTTATGTCTGGGTGGTGACATTATGAGTAATTCTTTTCATTTATCTATACTTTTAAAATTTTCAATAATAAACATGATAAACTTGATAAAAATATATTACTCTTTAATATCACAATAACCTTCTCACTTGGTAATTTCCCTTCTAGGAATTTACTCCTAATTTCTCTTTCCTGAAAAAATAAAAAAAATGCAGACAGAGTTATATACACAAAAATCATTCACTGAAAATTATTTACTATAAGCCAACACTGGAAACTGTATAATGTTCAATAATAAGAAAACTGTTAAGTAAAATAGGATTCATCTGCAAGTTAGAACACTGAAGCTATTACAAATTTTTATCAGGCCTGGTCAGTGTGCTCAGTTGGTTGAGCACTGTCCTGTGCTAGTTGATTCCCAGTCAGGGCGGGCACATGCCCTGGTCTCCAATTTGTTCCCTGGTTGGAGTGCATGGGGGAGGCATCCAAAATATGTTTGTCTCTCACATCAATGTTTCTCTCTCTCCCTTCCTCTCTCTCTAAAAAATCAATAAAAATATATTTTAAAATGTTTTATCAAGTTACATATAATAAGCAAAATGCTCAGGCTATAAGTGGAAAAAGGGATACAATTTATATAAGTGTACCTACAAAGTGATCTCATCTATGGAAAAAATACATGAAAAAAATATGACTAGAGGAAATAATGCTAGGAATGATTTATTCCCATTGGTAGTGAAATTGTACATGCACATTTTTTGGTGTACTATTCTTTATATTTTCTATATTTAGAATATATTTATTTAATAGACAGAAAACAGGAAAGTTTAAGGGCACAAGTGACTTTACTGGAATTTTATTTAACAGACAAAAAACAAACAAACAACTAGCCATATAATCAGATAAAGGAAAAATTCTCTGGTAGTGTAGTATTAATGAAATAAAACACTACTCAAGGACACTTATAGCAAACTAGCAACCACTACTGCCTAAAATAGTTTCACAGTCTAAATGCTATTCTTCTTTTCTCATTATGCTAATTTATAAAATTAGCTACTCTAATTCATAAGCCACAAACCAATACTACAAAGCTTTTATGAAGTATATTAGGAAGCTGGATTCTACCACCACCTGCCTTTCCTTTTGTGTGCAAAATTTACAGAGGTCTAATATGAGAATACTGCTTCAGATGATGATGTAATTATATTTCTTACTGTGAAGCTATTTGATAGATTAGAACAAAATGAAGTTCTGTTTTGTCTACTGATTTATTTCTTCCTAGAAGGCAAACAGTCTTGGATCTCCCAAGCTCTGTAGAAAACATTATTTTTGAATGATACAGAACAAGAGACAGAGAAGGACCCATTAAAAATAAAAGGGTCCAATTGTTCGTGACATTGATGTTTAAGCTAAACTCTAAAATTTGCCTTGGGTTCAGATTTGGGGAAAAAAGACCTCTAAGTTTTAAAACACACAAACTTATATTGATATCAAAGTACATTATATTGAAGAACCTTTTATAAGCAGTAAGTACAATTATATTTTGCTAATACTGTTCTTTATACACTGGTTTCACTGTAATTACCATACTGTGCTCAGCAATGAGAACCTAAAATAATGTTAAATAAAACTTGAACGTCTCCAGTAGCCATGTTACTTATATTTGAAGTAGTTGTTGTATTTATTAACGACATAAATATACAGTGAATGAATTAAGATAACAAACACTTCCTTTAAAAAAAACCCCTCATTAACAACAAATAGTATACTTTAAGGCACAATTGTTATCTGAGCCATAGCTAAACAATTCTAAGCACAAATTACCATAAAAATTCAGAGCAACTTGACAAAACTTGAAATCTACAGCTTTTCTCTTCCTTAATTACCCTGCCACTTCACTCACCCCTCAACTTTAATATCTCCAATCACACCAAATTACCGCAAACACACTCACCTATGTTAAATGCACACAATTTTTCTTTATTTATTAAGACACCTTTAGAAAAACACAAAGAATATCTTCTTGTGTTTAGGCTCTGTGGGCTAGAAACTCAGCTTTTAACTTAAATCATTTTACACACACACAACTCAGGATCTGGGTGCTCTTTCATAATCTGACCTGTGCCCTCAATTACAAATTGATCTCACTCCACCTGACAGCCAAACCATGATACTACTCCGCAGTGCCCCCTAGCTCTATAAAATATGTCAGTTTAAAACCGATATCTTTAGAACTGTCAAGCTCAACAGAAAGTGTCAGTCACTATCAACCTCACTTAAGCAATATTTAAATAGATACTGTATTATCTAAATTTCACCTTATAAGTAACAGCTGACAATTAAATCTTGCTATTAATACTGATGAGAAAAAATGTTATGAATTGATGGGCTTGGAATTCAACCACTTAACAATATATAGTTCAAAAGTTCTGTAAGAGCTCTCTGTAACGTGCAATTTATTTGATTTTTAAGATAGTAATTAATCAGGGACTCATACAAAAATACACATTAAAATGCCTTCTTTTCATGTAATTTAAGGAGAAGTGCCATGAAACCAATTTCTTCATTTTAAAAAATGCTGGGTCAGATTAAGTAATCTCACTATAGTTGCATTATTTATCATTACAGACTGAATCAAAATTTCTAACACTGAGAAATTTGTGAGCAGAAAACCTGTGACCTTGGTCCTGATGCTAAAAAATAAGTCATATTTGGGTTACTTCGGGATCAGGAAGGGAGGGCAAAAAGTGAAGATGATGCAATGACAAATACCCCTTCTTTTTGGAAATGGATTCCTTCACAAAAACAAAGTTAAGCAAAACTTCTAAGAAAAACGGCTAAGAAAATCACTCAAGTTTTCAAATGCCCTTCACCTTACATTGCCATTCTGAAAAATAAAAAGGCCCTGTTATTCTACATTCAAACTCTAGTACATTCACACTAATATGGGTAAAATTGAAAAGGATGAAAACTGGCCAGAACAAAACTGAGAAAAGGATGAAATTCCAGAACAGCAACAATGAGGCAGAGTGGAATACGGCGGGTTAGGTAAGAAGAGAGACTTGTGCGAAAATATGTGCGGTGCATTAGAATGTGCAAGGGGGGGGGGGGGGGGCGCTGAATCCACCGTCGGAAAGCAGTGGAGGGCTTCATGAGTGCAGAGCAGAATCTTCTGTGGCTTAAGGAACGCGTGTTCACAGCCAGAAGGCACACCTGGTAAAGGGACAGCCCAGGATGGGAAAGACCAATCCACTAACCGCGCAAATGCAGAGATGACCATTTTGACCAGTTCCATTGTCTGGAGTGTTAGATCAAGCTAGCCTGACACCAAATCAGAGACACTGTCGGGCAAAAGGTGGGAGAGAAGACAGACAGGGGCCTTCCGGGCATTCTCGGCCACGGGGGTCCCTTCCTCGCGGGGCCGTAGGGGGCCGAGGTCACGGGGGATGCACGGTGCCCGGCGTTCCGGGTCCGAGCGCAGGCGGTCCCCTCCTCGGGGCTGGCGACGTCTCTCACCCGCAGCCCAGGAGCCCGAGACTTCCCCTCCCACCCCACCCCCAGCCGAAAGCAGGGAAGACGCGGAACTTGGGCTCCCGAGCGGAGGCCACAGACCAGGTCACGGCCAGAGTGGAAGGCTCTGGACGAAATTCCGCGTGGCCACCGGGGGTGGCGTAGGGAAGGCAGAGCGCGGGCTGGTCGGGTTTCCAATCGGACAACACTCAGGTCCCAGTGGCCGGGCCCGATCCCTTTGGCGCCCATGGATCCCCTGCACCTCCCGGGTCCTCACAGTCCCAGGCCCTCTCGCCTCAGCTAGTGACCCGGCCTCTGGGTCTCCCCAGGGCCCCGCTGCAGCCGCCCCTCTCGGTAAACAGGTCCTCCCCCAAACCCTCGCCTCGGACGCTCCCGCCGAGCCCCGGGCCGCACCTCCGTCTTGGTGATCCGGTGCCGCCCCAGCTTCACCACGGCGAAGTTGCCCTTGCCCAGCGTGCCCTCGATGTCGTAGAATCCCACCCGGACCGGCCCGCGCTGCAAGTGCCTCGGGCCATCCGCCATGACCATGCTGGGCCCCGCTGCCTGACACGGCGGACTGGAGCGCGGGCGGGCGTCGCGGCTGAGCTCGGGCGACGGCCGCTCGGCTCGCTCCTCCGCTCCGTCCCTCCAGCTCCGCTGGGCCCAGCCAGGCGCGCGCCGCTGCTGACGTGAGCCGACGTCAGGGGGCCGCGGCGGGGGGCGGGGGCGGGACCGGGCCGCGATTGGTCACCATGGCGACCAGAGCAGCACCGACGTCTGTGGCTGGAGGGAGGGAAGGAGGGAGACGGGCGGGGCCTGGACAGCGCGTTCCTTCCGGGCTGCGGCGCTCTGGGCTCTCCTGGCTGCTTGGCCGCGGCCAGCACCCCCCCCCCCCCCGCCGGGTTCCTCGGAATCCCAGCCGAAGGCCAAGAGCGAGCCCTGGTGGGCGGACGGAGGGGTGCAGAGACCCGGCCCGGCCTCCTTCCCAGGCGCCAGCCTTCTCCGCCCACTCACGGACCTTCCCGCCAAAACCTCTCTCCTACGACTGCAGTGTGTCCTCAATTTGGCATGGGCCAGAACGGGCTCCTTTCCTTGTATCCTTTTCTCTTTTTGTTTCTATACAAATCCCTCCACACTTTTATGTCACTGAGGAATCATTCTGACAGCAGCACGGTCGCTTATAGATTAACAGAATATTAGCGTTTAAGGGACCCTAGAGAGTGCTTTATGCACAGATCTGTAACCTCAACTGGGCTTCGGAGTCTCAACCCCCCTAAAAACGTATGCAAATTTTTGCCTACTTGAGCTTGTCTCTGGGGAGCTGGGACTATAGCTTTTATCACATTCGCAAACATGTTGCTGACCCCAATAAGGTTAGGAAATACATACTTATCTATTGCACTTTTTTTTCCCAGACAGGTGATCAAGCTCCAAGAAATGAAGGGGATTGCCAGGTACACTCAGGTAGTGCTTGAGTTAGGATTGCAAATCACACCAGGCTTCCATATGATGAAAAGAACAGGTACAGTGTTATTTCAGTGTTCTGAAATATATTAAGTGCCTCCAGATCTTGGTTTCTAAATGCCGTTCTCCACCAAATGCAGTCAAACCAGAGAAATGGCTGATTCCAGGGCAAGGAGAGGGAAAGTATTAAATGCCCTTGAAAGATTTTGTGCAAAAAAGCAAGTTTTTCAAAGAATGAGGAGATGTTAAAAGGAAATAGGGCATGGGAATGTAAAGTGTAACTTAGGAAATATAGTCAATAATATTGTAATAACTATATGTGTGGTGCCAGTTGGGTAATGGAAATGCAGGGGGAACATTTTGTAAAGTATGTGATTGTATAACCACTATGCTGTACACCTGAAACTAATACAAAATAATATTGAATGTAAATTGTAATTGAAAAAAATTAAAAAGAACATAAACATATAGTCCTAGAAAAAAGACTAAAAGGATATATAAAAATTAATAACAAACAATAATTACTTCTAGGGGAAAAAAGGAAGTAGGACCTAGCTTTTGAATGTACCTCCACTTACTAATTGTGGGACAATTTGAGCATCATAAATGCATAATGATAGAAATTGATTATAACACAATTTTTAAAAAGAATCTATGTAGGCATAATTATTCTTAAAATTTTAAGTATAAGAGAGTGACAATTCTTCTTGACTGTGGAATGCAAACTAATACACATAGAAGAAATAAAATGAGGAAAATCATCATTTTGCAATTATTATAGTAATGATTGACTGGAATAGTATTATCAATAGATGTTAAAATCATTGGGTGAAAGTTTGCTGGGAACAGGATATTTACACAGTCTCAAAATATCCTCATATTTTTTATTCATTACAAAAGGATAAACATAGTACCTTTACAGTGGAGAAATCTGACAGACATCACCCTAACAAAATGATCAAAGTTAATGCCACCAGTAATAGGATAAAATGACATGATGCACTTTCTGATGTGAGATACTAAAGACACAATATCTCTTATGAGTATACATATTCTGAATCTAATCACAAAGGAACAGTCAGAAAAATGGAAATTGAGAAACATCAGAACCAACCACTGGCCTGTACTCTTAAAAAATGTTGACGTTATGAAAGAGAGAAAGGCTGAGGAACTATTCTAGATTTAAGGGATTAAAGAAACATGCCACTAAAGGCAATATGTGATCCTGGATTTGGGAAAAAGTACTATAAATGAATATTTTCAGGAGAATTTTTTAAATTTATGTATGGATTTTATATTAGATAATAGTATTATTTAAATGTTAAGCTTCTTGAATTTCATAATTGTGTTGTGGTTATTAAGAGATACACATTGAAGTATTTAGGGATAAAAGGTTTCAATATATGCAACTTACTCTTAAATGGTTTAGCAAAGCTAGATAAGGCAAATGTGGCAAAATGTTGCTGACCCCAAATGTTAAATTGATAAATCTAGGTAAAGTGTATATGGTTGTTCATTGTATTGTTCTTGCAACTTTTCTGTAGTTTTAACTTGTTTGTTTGTTTTTTGTTAATCCTCACCTGAGGATATTTTGCCATTGATTTTAGATACAGTGGAAGGCAGGGAGGGAGAGAGACAGAGACAGAGACAGAGACAATAATGTGAGAGACACATCGATTGGTTGCCTCCCACATGACCCAGACCAGGACTGGGGATCGAAACTGCAACCCAGGTATGTGCCTTTGACCGGGATTTGAACTTGTGACACTTCAATTCTTGGGCCGACACTCTAACGGCTGAGCCAAACTGGCCAGGGCTGTAGTTTTAACTTTTTAATGAAATAATATATATGTATACATTTTATTTTTATTATTTTGTTTTATTTTTTATTCTTTGTATAAGGTCTACTGACACTTGAGCTTTTCATGCTCACTGTGTTTTTGCCGTTCAATCTCCCAAGCAATACCTTATTCTACTGTGAATTATGTTGTTTGCAAAAGTGAGGAGGGAAGTTGAGGGAGGCTTTAAGACTGATGCTATTTTTGGATTGATGGGAGTAGTATATGAGGATTCATCTAACTAAATCAGGAAGAACTCACATATGTAACCCTTATACATTTTGCCTGTTAGATTAATGTGGTTTTTAAAGTTTTTTTTTTATTGTTGACATTATTACAGATGTCCCCTGTTTCCCCCCACTTCCCCCTTCCACTCAGCATTTTAATTGCTCTGGGGGTTCTTTTGGAACTCTGAGGAAAGTTACTTACTCTCAATAACCAGAAAATGCACATGGAGACCTACTAGAGCTAACAACCTCTTCTTTATTTTTATTTATTTATTTATTTTACTCCTCACCCAAGGACATTTTTCCATTTTTTGTTCAGATAGAGTGGGAAGGAGAGCGAGGAAGAGAGAGAGAGAGAAACATCGACGTGAAAGGGACACATCGAGTGGCTGCCACCCGCACGACCCAACCAGGGCCGGGGACAAACTATTACATGCCCTTAGCAGGAACCGAACCTGGGTCTCTCCAGACCACAGGCTAACGCTCTAACCGCTGAGCCAAATCGGCCAGGGCTAACAACCCCTTCTTTAAAGAATATCTTTTGAACAGAAATTAACACATTGTTAAGCACACATGAGTTAATTCCTGTTTTCATGCCCAAATGTTGACCAATCACGAGGTAGCTATTTCAAATTTTGAAAACTCAGGGTAATATAGGATTATTGTACTGTAGCATTCTTTCTCATCAATTGCATTTTATTAATGCATTCAAAATTTACTGTAATTACAATAGACAAAATAAAATAAGATAGAAAAAATTTCTACTTGAAGTAGCGAGGGAATGGATATCTGCTGGCTCAAATGAGTGCAGCTCAGAACCCAGCACTTCTTCTGGTCCTTCTAAAAGAGCTCCTTACATTGATTCACCTTTTAGGCTTTCAGGGCAACTAAAAGACCACGTTTTAGAAAAAAATAGTCACTGCCCTGGCCAATTTGGCTCAGCGGTTAAGCGTCGACCTGCAGACCAGAGAGGCCTGGGTTCGGTTCCTGCTAGGGGCACGTACCACAAAAGAAAAAAAAAAGAAAAAGAAAAAATAGTCACTGGTATAAAAAAAAAATCCAAATAGAACATGTAAAGTGTGTGTTTTAAAAGGAAAGAGCAGTGAAACCAGATAAATTTGCAAAACATGTTGCATACCATTACATGAAGGTGATTACTATACAGTATACCACACCAAAAAAATTACTAAAATATATAATGTGTATAAAATATAATATGTAGCAGATATGTACAAAGTTTTATTTAAATTGATTATGTATAAATAAAGTATACTGGAGTTTATTTGGATTATTTCACTTTCATTCTCAATTATGAAAAAATAGCCGGTGACATGAGATAACTTCTGTGTAAAATTGCCCGTCAGCAATGTATTTAAGACTCATTTCTGATTATTTTTATCAGATAGCCAGGCCAACTACCTACTTGCATAACCTGGGAGTAAGATTTGATTTGGGCCCTGGCTGGTTTGGCTCAGCGGTTAGAGCATCAGCCTGCGGTCCAGAGAGACCCGGGTTCGTTTCCTGCTAAGGGCACGTACCTCGGTTGTAGTTTGTCCCTGGCCCTGGTTGGTCGTGCGGGTGGCAGCCACTCAATGTGTCCCTTTCACATCAATGTTTCTCTCTCTCTCTCCCTCTTTCTCTCTCTCCCTCCTACTCTATCTGAACAAAAAATGGAATAATGTCCTTGGGTGAGGATAAAAAAATAATAATAATAATAAAAAAAAAGATTTGATTTGGGGCTGGAATGAAGGAAATGGCACGGAGGACTAAAATGTTTTTGGCAAACCAGAATTTATTGTTAGGTACTGAGTGTCTAGAGATTGGGAAGAGGTAGCAGGGATTGTGCCATAACAAACCTTGCCTACTTGGAAGTGCAGTGGGTGTGCCACTAAGCACCACAATAGGTTTTAAATGTGACTCTAAAGAAATACATGTGGACTCTTAGAGTATTGCATCCTTGGAATCCGTGATTCAATACAAAAGGTCTATTTCTCCCTCTCCAGTTTCAGCCCTGATGTCTCTTATGTGCTTTTGCTTTAAGTACATTTGAACAATTATTAATATCATCTAACTCCTACTTTCCTCTTCTCTTTCTCTCTCCTAATTTTCCTCTTTCTCTCTCTCTAGACCCCCCCTCACCCCAGGAAAAACAATAAAAGATAAAAGGGAAAAGGAGAAGGAAAGAGAGACTTCATACAATTCCCATTTTTTCATCTCTGGATTTAGTATCACTGAGGTAGAGTGCTGCAGTCACCAGATTTCCTATTTGCTTGACCTTTAAAATGCAACATTCCCAGATAATCCTGTGAGTATAAAGCTGTTTGCCATTGAGTTGATTTAAAAATGTTAAGATAACACTTCAAAAGGCAAAAGGGTGTACACATAGAAATAATTAAGAAAGATTGTCAGAGACTGAAATGAGAATTAATTCTGTAGCATACTTAACTTAGAATAAAATGGACTTAGAACAAAAATGTGGAATGAGAAGAGTAGTTACCACAGAGGTAATGAAAGAGAAATTTGAAATGTGAGGAAAGACGAGGTCATGGCTCACAGTGCTATAGGTATTTTGCTGAAACAGGCAGCTTATGAACTTGAAAAACAAGGTATACTCCATATGTTTCCTTGATCATGGACAATGTGTACATTTGTACTGTTTTATCATTTTAGGACTGAGTGAAAGTCAACACACAAGGAGTCTTGGACCTGGATTTAGATTCAGTTCAAATTGAATACTGGTGAACTCTTTATTAGGTGACTGCTTAGAGAAAGCAGATTAAAAGGCTAGAATAAATATGCTGCTTTTTATATTACAAAAGGCAGAAGTACATGAGAAAATCCAAATCACAGACTCATGCCAATGACAAGTGCTTCTTTTTATTAAATACAGTATTCCCAAAACAAGCACTGTTCTATCAGGTTAATAACCATGTAGGTGCCCCTGTGTTTAAGGTACTACTATGGACATACACTAGAGGATTGAGATCATTTAA